AGTGATTTCTTAGAATGATACGGTCTCTGACTTATCATTCTGAGAAGAAGAGAAATCTGTGATCATGAGCTTATCTGCAAATATGTGAAATATATTTCACATGTGAAAAATCTGATAAGAATTCTGCATTTTCTGTGAATTTTGTGGACAGCAACACATCTTCACTGATAGGTAGGAGTGGAAGTAAAAATGTAACCAGATAATTTTATAAAGCCATGTGCAATCAAGGCAAAGAATACTGGAGTAGTACAGTACCTCCTTGATCACACTCCATACACTTAAAATCAACGTTCTTTAAAGATGACATTACCCCGTCATAAAATGGATATGTTACTACCAAAAGTAATATTTAAATCACCACTTCCTTAGGCAGCTAGGTGCCAGGCCTTTGATCTTTAATGACAAATAAGATATAGTCCATATTTCCAGGAGCATCAAAATCATAATTCTAAGACCTGGAAACACTTTGATTCCAACTTTTATACTCAGTGTTTTATGCTACTTAATAAAGCAAAGTTCTATAAACCACTGTGAAATAATGGGGGAGTTCATTTATCACTAGTTTGTGAATTTCTCTTCCGAGGTTGGAACTACACACTAGAATTACAATAAAATTGCTTTCTTATTTATCTGAGTCCAGACTAGAGCGAAATTGCTTAAAAATGCCAGATGTCAAAAATATCATAACATTAGAAACACAAACAAATTTAAGAGAGAGAATACATTAATCACGAGATAGTAAAATATTGACAAATGCCAGAAATTCTTGGACATTTGTTTCTTGATACAGGTTTACAATTTTTTTTTAACTTTCTCCAGATTTTCTTTTGTAAAACCAAAAGAAAGAAAATACATTAAATATGTAAGAAGTGATAAGTGTCATGCTTTTCAAATCACTTTTCTATTGGATTCAAATCTTTCTATTTAAAAATTGTAAACAGTACTGTGAAGAACTAGGCAATAAAATTAGCTAATTTATGAAATTTAAACTTCAATCATAAAAGCGATGCAATGCTTTAGTTTTTGATCAAAGTTTTGTCATGCACAATTATTTCTCCAGTTTAGTTCCTTTATATGCAACTGCCATGAAATGAGAAGAGGTTAGATTTATGGGTAAATCCGAAAAGAAAGAAAGGCAAAACTAGTTCAAAGTAAATGATCAGTAAAACATATGGAAAAATCTTTATCAGAATCAGAATCCTCTTCTCTACTTATCACTTTTGTCCTGTTGCCAACAGTGCCCTGTGGTCAGTGAACTGGTCTATAGTAATGAAGAGATGCTTATTGTCTTTTACTCTCATAGAAATAAAGTCACCCAGAGTCTATAGAACAGTTTATAACGCTAGCAAAGAGATTGGTCTTGATGGCTGAAATTGAATCCAGACTCTAATCAATTCCATATACATGTAGAAAAACAAAACAAAACACGGATGCTCCAACACCTATAAAGCCAGACATCCCAAGAAATAGATGACCTAGGTAAATTACATAGGTTACAAATTAAAACATGGCTTGTTGTTTTGATAGAACTAAGTTTACATTGCTTTTTTTCCTCCAAGATTTTAAGGTAGATCCAAGTTTGCTAGTCATTAAAAACTTCCCTTGCATGGATTAGCCAAGACCCTCAGCCTGTCTATTGTTTTCTCAGTGTTGAAGTGCAACCAGAGACACTAAAATAGTGACTGCTTCTCTTACTTTAATTTGCATAGGAATTCCAGAGACTGATAAATCTGGTTAAAATGCAGACTCTAATTTTTTAGCTCTCTAAAGGAGCCTCAGATTCAACATTTTTAACAAGCTTCCAATTACTACAAATGATAATCACTGTCATCATCTTTATTAGCATGAAGTTTGTTCTGCAAGAATAAACTTTTACTCTTCTCTGAGTCACTGGTTAACCTGAAAACTGAGACACTCAACCAAGCAAGATGTAGTTTGTCATTACTACATTTTACATAATAAATGTAATATGGGTACACTAAAACTCAAATGTGTTTCAGATTTTTATTTTCTTGTAATGACTTTTCACATGCAGAAGGACTCTGGTTTTGATGTATTAAATCAAACACAGATCAGCAGTCCAAGGATAAATCACTTCACGGAAGCAAACATATTTCTGCTGGGGAGAGGAAAAGCACAAGACCAGATGATACTTAAAAGGAGACAAAATAGTTCTGGAGTACATAAGTCCACTTTATTTATTTATTTTTTTTCCTAAACTAATAGCTTGAGAATAACTTGGCAGTTCAGAATACTCCATAAACTGTTTCGTAAGAAAATCAAGTACTTCTTTGAAAGCAAGCAACTAAGCCAATTCTTTTGTGTACAGACTTGATGTATTGTAGGTTATACACATCTTTAAATCCTGATATTATGAACAGAAAAAAAGACAACTTAGGATTTTCAACCTATCACAGTCTCAAGTGCATGATTTTTTTTTTTGTATTGCATACAAGGTTTCCTTACTTCATCTTCAAATTAGGTGTCTTACTTTTATATGCTAAACTATTTTATTTTATGCACTGATATAGAAAGCGGGACCATCATAATTTATATTGATATGTATTCAGAATTTGTATTATAACCTAACATATATTTCCTACTTAGGCACAAAAAGATAGATAATATTCTCTAGTCCACTTGGAATTTTGTTTTCCTTTCTCTCTAATATTTTCTTTTACTTTAAAAACCAAAATGAGAAATTCGCGAGTGCTATTATGTTATTTATGGACATATAATAATGGTACATATTTATGGGGTAAAATCTGATGATCTGATCCATGTATACATTGTGTGATAATCAAATGGGATATCAATACTTGGTCTATCCATCTTCTCAAGCCTCCACACTTGGGTACATTCAAATTCCTCTCATCTAGCTATTTTGAAATACGTAGTAAATTATTGTGAGCTATGGTCATCCTATCGTACTACAGAACCCTAGAACTTGTTCCTCTTACCTCACTATTGACATCATTTCATAGCTGCTAACCAGCCTGTCGCTAGCCTCCTGAACCCCATACCTTTCCCAGCTTCTGGCAGTCACTACTCTTATCTCTACTTCCACGAGATCAGCTATTTTAGTTTCAGGAGTGGGGAACATGTGGTATTGGTATTTCTGTGCCTGGCTTATTTCACTTTTTATAATGTCCTCGGGGCACATCCACATTGCCTCAAATAACAGTATTTCATACTTTCTTATGGCTGAATAATATTCCATATACCATTTTTATAAGCCATTCACCCACTGATGAACATGTCGATTAATTCCATAACTTGACGACAAGAATCATGAATAGTGCAACCGCAGTGAAGGTGCAGCTGTCTCTTCAGGATAATGATTTCATTTCCTTGGTTGTATACCAGTACTGGGATTACTGCTCATACAGCAGTTTTATTTTTAGTTTTTTGGGGGAACCTCCAAACAGTTATTTCCATAATAGCTGTAGTAATTTATATTTCTACCAGCAGTATATAAGAATTTCCTTTTTTCCATATTCATACTGGTATTTCTTATTTTTTTTAATCTTCTTAATAATAGCATTCTAATTGTGGTGAGATGATACCTCATTGTATGTTTGATTTGCATATTCCTGATGTTACAATTTTTAAAGTAGGAATTATTTGTTCATTTAATACAATGATATGAGGTTAGTGAGGTCAGAACTAAAAGAAATATGGTTATGGAGGACAATAGTAGGGGAAAATTGCTCAAGTGAAATTAGAATATTTACTGTCTGTTTGGAATTCTGCTTGGATTCCTATGGTCAAAAAGGGCGTTGTAAGGAACCAGCAGGCCAAATTCAAATGTCAGGAAGAACAATTTTATATTACATGGAAAACCGCAGTTTTTTTCTCCTAAAGGTTATTTGCCATCAATGTACTACGAATATTAAAAAGAAAATAGCAGCAGCAGAACCTTAAAAAGTGCTTTTATGTAGTAAACAGAGTAAATCATGTTATACAATAGTGTACAGAGAGAATAAGCATTCCAAAATTGTTAGAATT